ATTCCCCCCCTTTCCCTCTAACCCCCCCTCTTTTTTTTTTTTTTTTTTTTTGGTTGTTTTTTTTTTTTTTTTTTTTTTTTTTTTTTTTTTTTTTTTTTTTGGCAAAAAGCAAAAGCACGCAATCTAAATAACGTCAGAGATGTTTTTATTGAGAATTATTATCCATTCAAAATATTTCCCCGATTCTGATTGGCTAAACCCACACGTTTAATTCACCATAACCGGTTACTGATGACTAAATTTGGGACTGATTTTGTGTTTAGCGAGGAAATGACGTCAAAAATGCAGCGTTCTTACAGGTTAATGCACAGTCAACCGAGAAGACCTGGGGACGAGTTTGAGTTGTCTTTGTTGTGAACTTGAAAAATGGCGGACATTTCACCCGGTTTAAGAGTAAGAACTAGGCGAAAAAATAGCTAAAAACATGGCAAGAAAAGCATGAGGACAACTCGAAGGGCGAAATCTTCTATTTGGAGAATATTTGCGGAGCTGAAAAACCCTAAGGGTGCACTATCGAGGATGAACTTAGCATCGATGGATCGATGGAGGTAAGCGTGTTTTAGTCATGTTTTTAAACTAGGAATTATTTTGAATGAATAATAAAAACAATTATTGAATTCGACTTTCGTATCATACGAAGAATTATAGAGAACTCGGAGGGTGTTATCCGCCTCGGCCTACGGCCTTGACGGATAACACCCTCCTCGATGTCCATAATTCTTCATAAGATACTCAGCCTCATTCATTAATTGTTAATTAATTTCTGCTAATAACTTTCTTCTTGAATCTATTACCGCCCCGGACGAATCTTCAACAGTTTCCTTTCATTTTGCAATATTGTACCACATGCAACAGCCATACTACGCTTGGGCTGCCTGTCAGATCAAATGGCCTTCCCTTTTTTTGCACGCGAGCGCGCGTGTGAGAGTTATAGCGGTGAAGCTGCGAGGGAATTTCAAAGCGTCTCCTCTTCTTTCCTAAGGTGAGCGGCTTTGCATCTCCTCTGCCAAAACTCTGTACGCGCTTATGATCCCGCTGACTACGCAGGCTGCAGATTATGAAGAAACGAAAACAGCTAGCATGTGACAGCTTAATAATTTGTTTTTATTTTTACGTGAGAGATCGAGGAATCTAAAAACAGTCTTAAAAATATAAATGTAGCACGCTATGACCCAGGCGTTTTGCAAGAACATTCCTGGGTAAAGGGCTCAGTCCTGATTAGATCCTAGGTGCCTTATTGCTAATACGGTCTTTGTTATGCTTCTAATTTTACTTCCCTCAAAAGTTTTAAGATTACTTTCTCGATATGATCATTACTGGTTAACTGTTTATACTCGTTTGGTGTGAAATTGTCTGATTACTGGGGAAGCTCCTTCTCCATATTTAATCATCACTAGCTTCAGGTGGCACGTTGTAATATGGACGATCTTCATTGTGTTCGTTTAGATGCAAGTATGGTGCATCCCTCTCCATCATCAACTCCAGTTTTTCGATCAGTTGATAGAAACTGGGACGAGAGCGAGGTTCCTCTTTCCAGCAGTCAGCCATCAGTTCATATCTGTTATGGACAAAAAAAAAACAAAAAAAGAAAAAAACAAACCAATTGAAGTTAGTCAGAGTTCCAATCCATTATTACATGTATAGACACCGTTTTTCCGATTTAGTGGAAGAGGTTTCCTTTTGACCAGCTGGGAGCCACTCACGCTGGATCATTAGGCTTGTCGGTTTTTTGCCAAGCCTGCAAGCAAGCTCTCCATTTGGGGGATCTCCTCAAGTACACGCACGTGCGACACGCGAGAGGAAACACGACAGCGAGGGGCCCCCCGCTCGCGCGTACTCGCGCGGTTCGTTTTCCTCGCCCAAATGGAGAGCTTGCTCGCAGGCTAATTCTTGCTTTGTCGATCTTTGTTAAATAACACTATCATATTACTGTAAGAAACAAATATTTAAGCTAAGATTTTGCCGTCTGTCTGTTCAGTAATCGCTTTGATCAAAGAAAACGTCAAAATCGAAACCGACTTGTCCTCTGCAACTTTCAAGGCTATTTATAACTAAAAAGACGCACGGAAAGATCGAATCTTTTTGTCAGTTCTAAGACGACTCTGAACAAGAAACGTACACATCATCGGAGCACATGTCAGGCCTTTCCATGCGATAACCAGTGCCAAGCAGTCGATACAACTCTGAGTTGGTCAGCGTAGGGTATGGTACGCCTCCTGATCACGTTATGCGAAAGAAAAAATATACATGTTATTATTTGAAAATACGGCTCATTCCCCTGGATAGCTTTCTACTGGAAATGTCAATGTCGACGACTCTCATTCCCCCGCACTCAATAATGCCGTTTTGCAATAGAATAGTGATTGAGCAGGGGTCAGAATTGCATTGAAATGTGTCTTCAAAGAAAACAGGGTGTTTAGTAATAAGGCTCCTCTTTCCAGAAAACAACTAATGCGTGCATATTTGATGCCGATTATTACTTATCAGACATAGAGCCTAGTTCAAAACAAAAGTGCCTAGCTTGCCACAAATAAAAGTCATCAGGTATCAGCCTGTTTCCTGGTAACAATAACCTTATTTAATAAGGACTCACTCTTTAAGTCCTAGTGTCGTCCTTTGATATCAGTCGCACAATTTAAGTCATATACCCCGTGGCAACAGGGAGGAGAGTTCTTGGGATTCCCCTCCCCTTGGAAGTTTACATGATTAGTGTGTGTCGGTCTACTCACCCAATGTAGCCATCTCCCAAAGAACAACACCAAAAGACCAACTATAGAGAAAAGTACTAAATTAATGAATATGCCCACTGCATGAACATTACTTTTCTTCTCTTCTTTTTACTTGATGAACTTAAGGCGAAAGGGCGTATCTCCACCTTTCCATGCCTTCGCCCTTGACTGAACCCTATGACAGCAGGCCTCAGCTACTTAAAGCCCTTAGCCAATGGCCTAGCAAGGCTAATAGAGTAGGGATCGGAAAAGAATACCAATTTAGGTGACTGGTTTGCCGCATAATCGTAACTAAGTGATCTTTACATACACTCCGAATTAAGAATTCAGCAGACGCTGCTCTCGCTCAGGACTTATATGCAAACTATGTAGTCCCGAGTCGAAATTATAGTGACAAGTACGAAAACAGCCGCTATAACCACTGAAATTCTGGATCGGTTTGAAATAAACTCGCTGATCACGACTTTTAGGGAAGCTGACTGAGGTTTTCTGAGCAGTAATTTATCGAAATGTGTTTAAAAGAGTGGGATTTTTTTTATACTCACACATCACTTTTGGTGGTGTAAAGGCCTTGATAAAGTGCTTCGGGGGCCATCCATTTTACAGGAAGTTTTTTGGACTTCGCTGAGCTGCTCACATCTTCATAGATTTGTCTCATCAACCCAAAGTCTGACACTTTGATTTGGTTGTCATGGCCAACAAGAACATTACGGGCAGCAAGGTCTCTGTGAACAAGATTGTTTTCGGCGAGATGATTCTAATTTTAAGAAGGAAAGAGAAAACAAAAAAAAGTACTATAAAACTTAAGTTACGGGGCTACTATTGCCTAAGAAGGCATGGGTGAAGGCGTGAAAATTATAGGAGCCAATGATCAAAAGTAAAATATCACAACTGAACTGATCTAAACGGCTGATTAAAGTTCAGACAAAACATGCCGAATTTGGTTCGATCGACCATGACAATTTCTCCTCTAAAAACAATTAATCATCTAGAAAATTAACTTATTTATCCTTTATTTCTTGCTTGTGGAATAGTCTTTGACAACGATCTTTGAAGGATGAAAACAAAACCTGAATGGAAGAAACGTTTCTCAGAAAATAATAATATAGTAATTACCATTCCTTTAGCTATTTGCCAAGCAAATAAAAAGAGTTGTTTGGTTCGAAAGTTCTCCTCCTCGTCTTCTTCATCACTGCTGACATCCTCGTGTATGCTTTCGATTACAGTTGGCATGGCGGTTAAAGGCTTCGCTTGACTTTTTCCTGTTACCTGTTGGCTGCTTAGTAGTTCTTTGTCCTTTACTTTCCACTCCCCATCCTTACGAAAATTTAAAAACAAAATCATTAATGGTCTAGCTTAAACAACTCGAAGAAACCGTATAGATCGACTCAATCGCTATTACGTAGCTAACGCGCTACTATAACTCGGCCAACAGCGAGGTCTGATAAAAACTATGCAGCCCCTTTTTTCAAAGCCTTAAAAGCCCTTGTGGACGGCCATTTTCCAGGCGTTGCGACGTGTGGCGAAGGTTTGCTATCTAAGAGTGGGATTCGATTCAGTTTTTTGTTTCAGGCTGTCTTTCAACCTCTTTAGTGGGTGTCCAATGCTACGTGTACCGCTGGCGACCTCAGAGAAGAAGAACATCTTCGGGAAGTGCGTGTCTTCCATTCAAACCACACGTCCAACCCACCAACAGACCGTATCAAAGGCCTTGGTCAGGTGCACAGAGAGGATGTACAGGCTCGGATTCTGCTCGCGACACTTTCCCTAGCTTGATCTTTCCTACGGTGAATATTATGTCGATTGTCCCTCTGTTTCTCCTGAAGGCACACTGACTCTCGGAGACGAAAATCATCCAGGAGATGGTGTGTGATACAGCTTAGTATGATGTGTGCCATGATCGTTCCTTGAATACTCAACAGCGAGATGCCTTTGTACTGTGGTTGTCACAGGATGCTCTGTCATCTTTGTTCTTGTACAGGTGGATGGCGTTGGCGTCCTTGAAGTCCCTAGGCACAGAGCCCTTGACCCAAAACTGCTGCATCAACTCAGTGAGCTTGACGGTGATGACCTCTCCTCCCTCCCTAAAGATTTTTGGAGGTATCTCATCAGCAACAGGTGCTTTCCCAGCCTGGAGCTGCTTATTTTTATTTCTGGGTTTCCTTCAGAGTTGGGGGATCGTCAAGAGAGCTTAGAACCGGGCGCTGAAGCATATCTTGGATGGCTCACTGGTCGATCTGTTGAGAAGTTGGCTAAAGATTTTACACCAACTTTGAACGATATCAGACTTCCCTGTAAGCAGGGTCCATCAGAAGATGGGACAGGAGCCATGGCATTGGAAGAGGGATCATATACAGTCTTCAAGCCCTCGAAGAACCTCTTAAAGTTGTGCACGTCTCAATGTTGCTCCAGCTCTGCAGCCTTCTGTTGCCACCACTTATCCTTCATCTGTCTCAGCTCAGTTGGGACTTTTTTTCTGAGGTGCGTGAGGCGATCGGGCCTGGCAGTTGAGGTCTTTTCTTAAAGCCAATTGGTAAATGCTTCCTGCTATTGCTTCAGAAGGCATGCTTTTTCTGCGTTGTTGGTTTCATATAAGTCCTGGTGTTTTCGCTCTTTCTGTTCAAGTGGTAATTTGTAAAATCGAATGCTGCATCTCTAAAGTTACCCCAGGCTTTCATTGCATTATTTTCAGTCGGTAGGCTGTCGTTCTTGTCTTCAGGTTTGTTGCGAGGGTTGCCTTGATGTCAGGGTCGGCACAATATGACTATTAATCACTCTCAAAGAAAAAACACTGACAAAGTGTTTGAGCTAAATGTGAGTACAACAACAGGTGTTTAACCAAGCAGACGTAATTGACAATCATGAAGTTTCTCTGTGTTTAGCTTAAAAGTGGCAGGTTTAAGCTATCAAACACGTATCCTCCCTTTAGCAGTCTGTTCTCAAAATGTCTGGGATGAACTAAACCACGACAGTTAAAGAAAGTCCTGGTGACTTCACCGTACGAAGTTTACTTAGGAAGCCACGGTCAGTGTCGAGTCTACAACTAAAATAGCATTGAAACGAGAAGTTGTGACGTAATTCAAGAAGGCGCATGCGTAGAAGTAGTACACCAACGACGAAAGTAGCATGACGGCTATGGTAACAGGAACCTACAGCGACTATTATGTTGCGTTCTTCTTTAGTCGAAACTAAAAATTAAAATAGTTGTCTATTTATTTCGGGCTCTCGCCCCCCCCCCCTTATCTAAGGGTCTGAATGACCGCTCCCCCCTTATCTCAAGGTCTGGATCAGGCACTGCACTAAACTGTGCAGTCGACATATCTGGAGACTTGCTGAAATTGGAGGCAGATTCCAGTAGAGCTCCTCGTTTAATATATGATCTCTCCAGCTTATGTTTAGAGCAGCACGTAGCAGCCTTGTGTAGCAGCCATCAATTTGTTCTTCCAGTGTAGCAGTCAATGTCAAACTCTCTGACCCGTACAACAGAACATAATCAACTGAAACTCTAAAGAAACGTATCCTCGAATCTCTGTTGAGTTTGATTTCCACACCACTGTTAGTTTGTTGCCAGCGGCCCAAGCTTTTCCTTTACGGATCTCGAAGTCTTTCTTCGTTTGATCTATCCAAGAGTCTAAGTACTTGAAATCGTCCACTTCTCTTAGCTTTGAATTGTCTAGGGTAGTAAGGTCGCCCTGTGTCGGAGGTTGTAGGCCATGTGTTCGGTCTTGCCTGTGTTAATGTGCAGAGCAACTTCTGTGGCAGCAGTTCCAACTCCCTCTAGCAGTGATTGGGCTTTATCCAAGTTATCTGAAATCAATGCGATATCGTCAGCAAAGTCTGTGTCAGTGATCATAACTGCGGGAAAGCGATGACTTCTTCTCTCAGTCAGTGTAAATCCAAGGTCTTCGTAGCCTTCAATTGTGGATCTCATTGCGTAGTCTAATGCTATGATGAACACGAACGGAGCTAACGTGTCACCCTGCAGTACTCCAGCATGGAAAGCAAAGAAATCTGTTTCTCCACCAGGTGAGCAAACTATGGCTTCAGTGTTATAATACATCGACGCTCTAGCCAAGACTATTCGATTTAGGATGCCGTAAGCCTTCAGAATTTCAAACATTTTGTCTCCGTTCACCGAGTCAAAAGCCTTTTTGAAGTCCACAACGGTAAGAACTGCTGTTATAGATTCTTGGCCTATATGCCTTCTACCAATCTTCGAAGAGTAAATATCTGAGCAACTGTTGATCTTCCTGGTCGGAACCAGTTTTTATTTGTGCGCAGAAGGGGTCTAAGTAGGGGCGGATCCTGTTACGAAGCACTCTATTATAGATCTTAGCTGCTGTTTGAATTAGTGCAATACCACGTTTGTTATGAGGTTCACTGAGATCGCCCTTTTTTGGGTACAGGGTTTATAATGATCTTGGACCAAAGCTCAGATTTTCCGCTACCTTCAAGCATCATATTACACACGTCTAGCAACTGGTCATTGAGTAAGCCACTTTTCTATACTTCAGCCGGGATTTCATCTATGTCAGGTGCCTTATTGTTGGCAAATGTGTTGATGCTGGTATTGAGTTCTTCGAAAGTGTAGGCATTAGTGCTGATCGGAATAGTATCCTGTACAATATACAAACTGGGTTCCTGTCTTCGGCCACTGGTTGGCCTAAGAGTGTGGCAAAATGGTCCCTCAACTTTTCCAGCCTCACTTCAGCAGTTTTGCCTTTAAGACGACCTGTAGCTGACGAAGTCCTTCCCGTTATCTCATTAATAGTATCCCATACTCTTTTTGCCTGATGCTGCACTGCAGCGTTCTCAATCTCAGCGCACTTCTGGGCCAGATATTCCACTTGCTCGCTGTCATATGCAGCTTGAAGTTCCTCTTTCGTTTGTTTTAGGTAGTTCGCATTGTCAGAGTTGGAGAGACATTTTTCAAATAGGCTTTCTTCAACTCGTTCCTTTTCTCCTTGACAAGTTCTTTCTTCCAGGGCACTCTTTTTTTCACTCGTTTCTTCTTAGGAATACACTTCTCTAAGCTGCATCCATTTGGGCCTCGATCATTGAAGTATACAGATCGTTCACAGTGTTTTTTTCCTTAATCTAGTACAGGGCCTCAAAGCGATTCTTAACTTCCACAGTATAAGCCTCTCTTACGGAATGGCTGGTGCTAAAACAACGCCAGTTAAAACTGGTACGTTTTGCCAGTTGTTTTCCCATTGGCTAGCAAACTGAGGCGTAGTTTAGTTACGACAATCTTATGGTCTGAATATACTGTACTGAAAGAGTCATATGCCTGACAGTCTTTGACACTGTTCCATTATTTCCTGTTTACCAGCAGTATATCATCAAGTCGGGCTTTGCAACCATTTTACCATATCCAACATAAACGTCTTTTTCCCAAAGCTAAGCCCATTACAGTCTAAGGGACTGATTTGTGCATTCAAATATCACCAAATGTGATCTTAAGGTTATGTCCAGGTAGCCTCTTTATTACTTCAGAGAGTGTGTTGTAGAAGTCTAGAGCATCGCTGTCACCCGAGCAGTTCGTTGGGCTGTAGCAGCATATAATGGTAGTAGCAGGGTTGCCACTAAAGTTTGCCACAATGATCCGGCTATTCACTACTACAATATTGCCCTCTAGGGAGTTGTGAGCAGAGAGGCTTAGTAGCATACCCACTCCTTCCACGCAACTGTTCATGGACTTCTTCCAGCACGAGGAATTGGCCAAGATTCTTCCTTTGCCGACATCAGTATAGTGCACGTGCGCACTATCGTGAAATTTTCGATGTTCCTGCAGACAAACAACAGATATTCCTTTCTCCTCTGCCAGCGCGGTAAGCTCTCCAATCTTCTCAATGGAGTTGAGTGAACGGATGTTAAAAGTTGACACCACAGTGTTTATCTTGCATCTTAAGAGGCTTCCAGTAGCTGACTTATCAACTCCAACCTGGTTGCTCACTGGGGGACGCGGCCCTTGTTTATCCGGCAGAGGACCGAGCAAGTATGTAGGGAAGTTTGCAGTGTTTATCAAATCAATGTTTTGCTAGGCTCACTGAGACAAATCCCAGCAAGGGATGCTGGAGGAGCGCCAGACCTTCCAGCGGTGGGCTCGTTTTCTGTAGGGGTGGCTCCCTTAGCCTGTGGCAAAAACAAAAACCTGACTGCCAGGCAACAGTGTCGTGACCCTGACATGGCTAACGGGTGCTACACCTTTCCCAAGGGCTACCCGGAACTGTGCATTGCAGGGTAGGGACGTTTATGACCCTGAGGTACCAAATGCACGAAGTACACCAAGTACCCGCATACCCATACCCGCATTACTTGTAGTGGTAAATAATTATAAAACTTCTTACTTGATTTTTAGCGGAAGTTGAGGGAATCACTTCAACATCTTTGTCGCTTTGCTGTGCAATGTTCACTTGTTCGTTGTGTGCAGAATGTTGACCGTCCACAGCCTCATTACTAAAGGCGAACCTATGCTAAATGATTTTTAAAAAAAGGAGATTAATTTATATGTAGGGAAATTGTAACATTACATTGTTAGAAACTACTGTCTGTAACTAAAATTTAAAATATCACACAAGTTTAGGCAAACTACTGCCTTTTTCCTCTCACTATTTTATTTTCTAAAGATCCAATTTAAATCATGATATAAAATCTTATGCACTAATAGTTATCTTCCATGAGTTTCTGGGTACCTGTGCTAAAACTATGTAATTCGACTGACAAAAGAACAGAGACGAGTTGAATTTGTTCATTTAAAGTTCCACTGAAATAAGATGGAAATTTTATTTACCGTTCTTCAAAACCCACGACATTTAATTCAATAACAATAGTCTTTCGTTACGTGATATCTCTTCAGTCACCGAAACGTCACCTTTCGCTTCGCCCTATGCTCTTAGGAATGAAATATATCATGTTACACCCTTCGTATCGCGAGACAAGGCATCTTCGGAGAGCAAGAGGAAGTCACTCGGGTCGTGAGAAAAGGCGCGGCAAAAATAGTTTTCAAGAAAGGGCGGAAGAGCCCCTGGGTGCCGACCCTTACTAAACCATTTTCAAACGGTCAAGCTGATTGTGTGCAAAGAATGCTTTGTGTTATTGAGCCCAATCGATAAACAGCATCTCCCGAGTTCTTTTCGTGTGTTCGTAGACGACAGCTATTGTTTCGCCATCATGATACTTGTTTGGCTCTTGAACCAAAGAAATACACGCTGTCAGGAAAGTTTCAGTTCGATATAAAACCTGTCCATGAATTCAAAAAACTGCAACTGTCTACCCGAAAACTAAATTTGGAAACGTATGTAAGGGTATTTAAAAGATGCTTATCCAAAAACATAAACTTGAGCTTAAAACACGTATTCAAGCTTGCATCGATCCTTATCGATCACGCCATCGTAAATATCATTTACGATACCTTGTAACAGAATGGTCTCGGAGAAAATTGGAACGGTCCTGCTGATAGCATCTGAAACGTCTTCCGAAATCATCAGTTGTTCCTCCGTTTCTGGTAGGGGCAAAGTAGGAAAAGCCAAGATTCCCCTTGCACAGCCAACCTTGGTGAAAGAACCGGACAAGTATGGCGAGATAATAGCCGTCGTGTACGAATGCACGAAAAGAAAATAGGAGCCCCTGTTCGCCCATTGGGCAAAATAATGCAAAGCATTTTTTTTGTGCCCAATCAGGAGTCAGTACTCGCTGGATTGTTTGAGAATGGTCTGGTGAGAGTCCGTAAACAGGGGCTCAAACGTTTTCTCCCGAACCACCTGACTGCCCCTAGGCCTCCAAGGATGGAGACAAGGCCGCTTGTGGCTTGAGTGTGTTTATTAAAATGCTTACATCAGGGAGACTGTGAGTGGCTGACGCCATGTCCTTTGGGTCGCCACTCTGGCGCAATGAGATCATTTCCATGGTGACCTGAGCCTGCTCTTCCTTTGCCGTTTCCTTCAAACGTTTGGCTGCTTGTTTTTGCTACGACGAAGGAAAGACCGTTCAATCCACCCTATAAGAGTGTTCCACTTTCCCTCTTATAGCACCCCATAAAAAAGACATCAAACAAACTTAAATTTTGGTGATTTTTACAAGCATGGAAACAATTTCCGTGTCTTAATAATTTTATATAGTCTTAAGACGCTTTCCATTTGTGAGAACTGACCGGCCAGACAATTCCAGTCATAATGAGAATTTCACTTTTAATCAAAACCATCATTCAGATCCCAAATAGTAGGCACAAAGGAAATGGTGTTTCAACAAAAGCTCTTGCAAAACAGCATTTTTCATTGTCAAAATGACTGGTGCCGGCTATGGTCTGGCCGGCCAGTTCTGACTTTTGGAAAGCGCCCTTAATAAAGTCTTTGATTACGTACAATGAGTCGTCAACCAGACACAGGGAACAAACAACAAACGGTTTGGGGACTTTGAAGAATAGAAAAAATATCAGGGTCAAACAAAAAGGGATTAAAAAAAAAAACATTTTGTTAACAAGCCTACCTTATCTCTGGTCTCTTCCTGATCTTTCAGAACCTCTTTGTCAGCATATGATCTCTCGGAGGCTTTAAGTTCGTTGATCTAGACGTCCAGCAAGCAACGTTATCAGTTTCGGAACAAATAAAGACCAATACATCTGTGTGACTTTGCTTAAAAGTCCGCGCAAAGTTTTCGCTTGAACACGGGCATCAAGCCAGGGAGTCCAAAAATATCCAGAGAGCTTATCACAGAGCTTAGGCCCAGACCTTATAGGGGGTGGGTGGCTGGCTTTTTTGTGTCAAAAGTAGGGGGGTAGGTAGGGGAGATTTTGTCACTTTGATAGATTATCAAGCCAGAATGCAGTTCAAAGTCAAGGAAGTTTCCCTGTAAGCTAGCCCAGCCAAATAAATGCTGTGACTCATAATCGCAACACTACTAGCAGAGCTTGGGGGGAGTGAGTTTCATGGGTGGTGAGGATGAGTTCTTGCTCCTCGGACTTGGCTGTCCAGTAGACTGAGTGCAGGCACCTTGCATCAAATCCAGTCAGATATATGATAATGTTGAAATATTTTCCCTTAAGCACTGAGTAATCTCGAGAGAAAGTATTTTCTCTTTGTAACAAAAGTTTTAAAAAAATCCTTATGATTTCAATAACAAGGACTTTATCGGGTATGAAATTGGCATCTTCGCAGATGTAAATCTGCAATAGTCCCAATACATGATTTTACAGTCATAAAAAGTGATGGTCTATCCTTTCAGAACACAAGAACACGCTGCAATAATTTTCTTACCTTTTTTCTTCTGCGGCGAAGCCACGTCAAAAGGTCACCACACGGAACGTATTCTATGACCAGGAACATTTTCTCTTCAAGCGTGCAGCATCCAACCATGGATACAACGTTCTTATGTGAGCCTAACAGTTTCATTTGTTCAATCTCAAACGTGAACTCTTCTATCTGTGCCTCAGATGGATCATCTAAAGACAATTTGATAAAATGATTATGTCTTCTTCATTCTTCCTGTGACAGCATATTATTTCAGTGCTAGAGTTTCATTTGCATGACAGATATTCATCCCTTTTTATCGCACGCATCCTCCTATGCACAAAAGGACAGGTAGATTCTACCTTCTAAGTGCATTTCAGTTTAATAGTCACTTTACCACCCCATCTTCTTAGTTCGCAGCCTTAATTGGAGGGGATGCTCTATCTGGAACAGTCAGGGTGGGTGAGGCATGCTACCTTGAACCCCTACGCTATTTACCCTCAGGCCTTAGCCGTTGTTTTTCGAAGGAGAACAGTGGTAAAAAGAATAATCGACAACAACAACAACAATACTAACAAGAACTTAACCAAACGAAATTAAAAAAATTGGATTTTTTCGACTGATTTTCTGTTGGGGTCTCAGAAAGGTCCAAACAAGAAATATAAAAGAATTCGTTGCTGTTGCATATAAACAACTGAAAATAAGTTACAAATTCAATTATCGCTTACGGCTTTGTCTCTTGTCTTGTAGATTAAAATATTTCTTACCATGTAAAACTTTGACAGCCACCACCTGTGGTGCCTTCGGCTTCGTGGATGATGAAGGCCATTTGGAAGTCTCAGTGACCAACGCCTCCATCTCATCCCTCTTTCTAACGGTTGCTTTGTAAACAACACCAAACTCTCCTCTCCCTAGCTCTCCCTCGAACTCTATTTGCTCAGGCAGCATTTCCCACTTATCAGAGGGTTGTGAATCAGGTGATCTGGAGAAAAGGGACATAATAAAAGCTGAATTAAGGTTGTTATTAATTAAAAAGCGCTCGTGAGTAATCGTAATGATAGCGGTGGCTATTATCAGTTTAAGCACCATATTTTCAACCTGAAAAACATACCAGCGCTAAGACGTTTGGCTTGTACACGACTATTTGTGGAGACGTGGACGTATAGAGAAACCAATGAACAACGCATTGAACAGGGGCATCGGACTTTCCTCTCCGTATGCGTTTCTGCCAATTTATGACAAGAAATTTTAATTCAGGCAAACGAAGTTGGAGGGTTGTCGGAAATAATTACCAATCTCCTTTGTAAACATGTTGATTTTAGTGGCGTGATTTAAAGGACGTCTTAAGTGATAGATTGCACGTGACAACCTGATAGCCCTGAACTTTGGAATTGAAAGCGAAGCTGAAAACCTCGTGATTGACAATAAAATGTAGAACAACAGGATGTAGTGAAAGAGAATCATTTTGTGATAAGAGTGTGCTGTACTGTGAGGAAAGGAATAAACACCTCCTGTGAGTGTGTTGGATAACAACTATTTGGAGGCAATTCCCAACACAAGTGCGGGCACCTCCGACGGGACACACAGGGATTTGGCTCGAACAAGAGCAAAGCATTTACGGAAATTCAAGTACACAGCGGACGCGATCAGTGAATTTTATAGCCTCCCACAAAGGCGTTTTTAGGGGAGCACGTTTTTCATCCCTCCCCTAAAAACGCCTGCGTGGGAGGCTAGGAATTTTAAGACTGAGTATACTTACAAGGCGACAAAAACGACGCCAAACCTACATGGGCTAACGCCATGGAGGAACTAATGAAAGAATTTAACCGGAAGATTGAGTCTATCAAGTTTTCGCTAGACAAAAATGATGGAGTGATAGCTTCTCAAAACACAGAAGCGATATCAAGACACGAAGCGCTATTGACGTCAAAATTGCATGCCGCTCACACAGTGAAAGAATCCATTATGGAGCTGAAATTTGCAAATGGAGAATCACATGAGCAGGTCACCACTTTGGCGAAAGAGCACGAGACATTTCTAAAGGAAGCGGACGAAAGAGATTTAGCAAAAAGACAACAAGTGGCAATCAAAGGGTGCCTAACTAACCCACTGGGCGAGAGTCGAATCTCGGACCTCCGACCTGGAAGGTCAACGCGTTATCTATTGCGCCGCGACGACTGATATTGAAGTCGCTTGATAATTTAATCATCTTTAACACTTTTGCCCAAGAACTTCTGCCGGTCGACGCTGTTTGAAGCCGGTAGTGCTTTATTTATGAAGAATTGACAGATATATTCGACGAAGCAAGCATGGTTTTGATAGTAAAAGCCGTACTTTAACTCATTTCGTCGCATTTGAAGAACATATGGCCGACAAGTGTCTCGCAAAACTGTCGCGAAGTCTAGTCTTGCAGCTTGCGATTCTCGGGGTTTGCATGAGGAGAATCAATTACGATTCAGCAACAGTAAACAATTCCGTTTTTATTGAACAAAGAAACATTTCATTTCAGAATGATATTTCACTAAAAAAACCATGAGATTAGGAATCTTGTCCTGAGAAACGTTAAAACCGGTCAGTGTAAAACGCAGACTGCGGACTGCAGACTGCAGACTGCGGACCGGGGGTAAAATGCAGACTGAGTGTAAAATGCAGACTGCAGACTGAGAGTAAAACGCAGGCTGGGGTAAAATGCAGAATAAAGACTGCAAACTTTTTTTAAACATTTGTGCTCCTTCTTCTCCAAATCGGTGAAATAGCTAGCCGGTATCAGTTACACACTTCGCTTCCTAGTCGAAGTGCATTGCACATTAGCCTGAAGTTTCAATGAACATCCAAACAGCTTAAGTCTGCGTACCTTGATTTGCAATACTTTCATAGAAGGTCATCCAAATTTCCTGCAGAACATCTTTATTTGTTGTTGGAATGATTTACTCCCTTTTTATCGCCATAATTCTTCCTGTACAGTATGTTGGGTCAGCAGCTTTCATTTAAGCGTAAACATCGTGGTGTTGTATCAGTTCACGGTCCCTGGTCACGTATATCGAAAACTTCGCATCTAAAGTTGAAGCGTGAAGTCTCTAGGACAGGAAAAAGGTTCAAGGTTGCGATTATGTTTTCGCGTCGTCGACAACGTTCCAGAGAAGAAAGGAATGGATTTGTGAAAGCAGATCATCAAGTAAGTGTTCGTTTACATGTATTTGCGGTTTTTTTTGCCCTTAAACCCTTCCACGACTACAGTTTATGCTCGGTCTGCATTTTACCCCAGCCTGCGTTTTACTCTTAGTCTGCAGTCTGCACTTTACACTCAGTCTGCATTTTACCCCTGGTCCGCAGTCTGCAGTCTGCAGTCCGCAGTCTGCGTTTTACACTGACCGACGTTAAAACATCGTGAGACTCACGGCAGAATCGTGAGCTTGGACCAGCTTGGGAGTCGAAGAGCAGTTGCTGATCTTTTTGCCATGTTTATCGCCTGGGCGAGTCAAAAAGCTTCAAAAGTTCATAAAATTCTGTCTCAAAGTTGGCCATAGTGCTAATTTGAAACGTTCAAAGTCCACATGAAGACAATCGTCCTGTGACTCCTGTGAAATGTACAAAGTCAGCACATCGTGGAATGGGAACGATCTCCGACAGAAAGAGGGAGCCATAAGAATCTTCGAAGATGCTAAGTTCACGCTGCACAAGTGGCACTCGAATGTTGCCGAGTTAAGGATTGTCGCTTGGACCGCCAGATTCATACGGAATTCACGCCTGAAGAAACAAGAAAGAATGATGGGTCCATTGACGACCGACGAGATTAAAAACCAGCACCTGTTTTGGACCAAGCGCCCTCAAGGGATTCAAAGTAATTGAATTGAGTAAAGAGAATTATCGACCCGTTACTGTTTTACCGGCCCTAAATAATGTTTTTGAGAAACTTCTTGCTTCTCAACTAGACCAGTTCTATTCTGAAATATTGTCTGACTACATCTCAGCTTATAGGAGACACTATAGCTGTGAAACCTCGCTAATGAGGTTAACAGAAGATTGGAAGCGTAGTCTGGATAATAAACAAATTGTTGCAGTGATATCAATGGATTTATCTAAGGCTTTCGACACGATACCGCATGGACTCTTGCTGGCCAAGCTGAAGGCCTATGGTGTTAACAGTAGAAGTTGTATGCTTCTTAAAGATTACTTACAAGGTAGGATGCAGCGGGTGAAAGTAGGTGATACAAGTTCTGATTGGCAAGAAGTCATGCGAGGGGTACCTCAAGGCAGTGTTCTTGGTCCAATGTTTTTTAATATTTTCATAAATGATTTATTCCTACAAATCAAAACTGTACAATTAAATATGTATGCAGATGATGGTCAACTCTACACCGCCGATACGGATCCGGTATCTTTGGAAAGGCGTATCTCGCGTGAGGTTAGCTCAGCAAATGCCTGGTACGAGATCAATGGAATGATAGCAAATCCCAGCAAACACCAAGGGATGATACTAGGAAAAACTGACCATCAGTTTAATTTCTCAGTAAATGACTCAGTGGAACTTTTCGGCGTTACAATTGATAAAGATCTTACGTTTAAGCAACATGTGTCCTCTATATGTAAAAAGGTAAACAATCAGTTTAGCGTTATGTCAAGGTTTGGCAAACTGATGTCTACTGAAACCATGCTCCGTCTTTATAAGGCATTTATACTTCCTCACTTTTATTATTGTTCTATGGTGTGGCATTTCTCTAGTAAACAAGATTCTGATAAACTGGACCTTTTAAACAAACGTATTCTTCGATTTATTTTCAAGGATTTTAACTCTGAGTACAATAATTTACTTAAAAAGGCAGGAACTGCAAACCTTAAGGACAAGCGTTTACAAAACATGATTCTCACTATTTTTAAATGTCTTCATTTTTCTGATTATCCAAGATATTTAAAAGATATGTTTCGTTTACGCTCTAGCACCTATTTTTTAAGAGGACATAATATGCTCTGTTTGCCCAAACCATCGACCACTTCTTATGGTATCAATTCCTTTAGTTACTTGGCAGCAACATCTTGGAATTCTCTCCCTGACCGTTACCGCACTATTTCTGATTTTACTTCTTTTCGACGACTGATATCTACTGGGAACAATAATTTACTTAAAAGGGCAGGAACTGCAAACCTTTCTACATCATGATAATTTGCAAGTTAGTTGTCTAGGTAGTTAGTTATCTTTTTTGCTATATAGAATTAACTTTTTATTATAATTATTTATTAATGTAGTTGGCTCGAAGATATTAGCACTTGAGTGCTACACTGTAAATTCGAGGGTAAATAAAGTTTATTGATTGATTGATTGATTGATTGAAAGCGATGATGTGACAGACGATCGACAAAGACTGGGTTTAGAAGAAAATGAACAGGGGATACTCATATGTCGAGGTCGTGTACAAGTACATTACCCGGTATACCTGCCTGACAAGTACGCCTACACAGTGAAACTCGTTGAAGCAGTACATAGCATGGGGGAGTAAGTTTAACAATGGCGCGGATCGGACAGCGTCATTGGGTGCCGAGGCTCAGACGTCTGACCAAGAGAGTGATAAAACACTGTTATGGTTGTCACCGTTTCCAAGTCAGAGCCGCTGCTAAGCCACCTCTAGCGCTTGGAACTGTCAGGCGAGCGGACGCCTTTGACAACTCAGGAACAGCTAAATCCGTAGGTTCGAGAGTTCAGACCAACCCGTGACCCTGCAATTGCAGCGAGAGTACGAATGCAAGATATTGCTGCCAAAGAGCAAGCCAACTGAACATTGAACACCGACTCTGTAGAGAGTTTGAGAATCATTTCGTTTTCTGTTATTGTTTTGACTCACAAGAACGTTTAGTATGATATGGTTTCTAGAGATTAATGCAACATATGTCACCTAAAGGTAGACATATAGAGGGAGAGTGTCGGAAATAATAACCAATATTCTTTGTAAACATGATTTAAGTTTTGTTTGATTTTAGTCACGTGATTTAAAAGAGGTGTTAAGTGATAGATTACACGTGAGAACCTGATAGCACTGAACTTTGGAATTGAAAGCGAAGCTGAAAAAGAAAACCTCGTGATTGATAGTAAAATAGTAGAACAATAGGAGATAGTAAAGATAATTATTTTGTTATGAGAGTGTGCTGTACTGTGAGGAAAGGAATAAACACCTCCTGTGAGTGTGTTGGATAGCGACTATTTTGGAGGCAATTCACAACAGGGTTGGTGACAGTTTAAAGAAACTTAAGACCACGTTTAAATTAAACATATCCGGATATATGAACGGACAAAAACTTGCTCAACGCCGCATTTCGTTTACACGGAACTTGCGAACAGTGCAAGTTTTTGAACGGCAAATCGTACTGAAATTTGATACAGAATTTGCACGGTTCCACAGTGTAAAAGGGTTGCACGGGAAAAGCCTTAATCATTCGTTGAAATATTTGTCCTGTCCCGTGTAAACGGCATCTAAGAGAAATTTTTCATTTTAATGCACGGGTAATTTCATTGATGAATGAAGCTTCATCCGACTCAACCAGCCCTTGCCCTTTGGCGTACTGCTGAACACATTTGCTCCACAAGCCCATTCTTAAGTGAGAAAACGTCACAACGAAATTTTCCATACCGATTAGGGGTCAAACGTCGCTTCTCGAAACCAGCCTTTGCCTTCCAAAACTACAACCTCACTGACTGGGCATAGTTTGATATCGTGTTGATATGAGAGACATCTCTTGGTCCAAGATAGGCTCAACAGCGGTTGTCTGTCAAAATAAACAGCTGGTAGAAAGAGGCATCTCAGAAGAAAGCTGTCAACCAAGGACTTTAGCCATTAGCCTTCAACCTATCGTTTTCGGTAATTCACCCAGACTAACAAAAGTTGAGTTTCTTTGTGCTGAATGTTCGTGCTCAGGCTCTTGGGCGTTGAGTCTAGGTTGCGTTCTCTCGACGTCGAACGCAATAACATCTTTTTATCAGTCAAGTCAATTTTCAATTTATTTTTCAAGATATTCTTCTTCAGGATCTCTTCTTTCTTACTGTCTTTTTTGGGTCCTCAGCCCCTTGGCTAAAACAAAATGCTTGATTATTTTCTTTGTAACTGTCAATGGCGGGTGCACGACGCTATAAGTGGCCACGGGATGTAATTTGACCAATAACATCGCGCTAAGATTAAACGCTGGGAAAGCAAAATTTTGCTTATAAGTTTTTTCGATACACCTTCAACTAGAGAAAAAATTACGCCGAACAATGTGGCTAGCAAATTAAAAGATACACACACCTTTCAATAGTCTTAAGCTTCTTTCTTCTGTAGCACCAGACAAGAATAGCCATGGACAGTATCAAAAAAGCGGAGGTGATACCAAGTGAGATGTAAATGACTTCAGAAATGGCGCGGGTCCGATTTTCGGGTTCAGATTTCGTGGTGTTCTTAACTGCAAGGAAAGGTATTGCATTATAAATGGCATAGGAAGCGTGCGAGTATGCGCTGAAGAAAACAGGTGCATTAACTTGTAAAAACGTCCACAAGGTTCTTAAAATCTACTTCGCTGCCAAACATGGCTATTCCTCCTTCATGGATCCTCGTTAAAATAAACTAAGTTTTCCCTGTTTCTGAGGAACATGGCACGGCGGACCTAAGGTAACAATCTTTAGCTATTTTGCGTCCATTATACTTGAGCTTACTGACCACTATTACACAGATGTCCTTCACAACACTGCAAATGATGATCATCAAATTGTCTGCATTGATCAGCGGATATACAGCCTTGTATGGTGACTTGTTCGCCGTTTGCCGCTGTATTGTCGTATTTGAAACAAAGGTTTTCTGTAAATGCACAGTTGACTGTAATGGGAACAGAGGAATTCCTGCTAGGGTACTCATAACAAACAGTACCTAAATATAAATGGAGAATAATAGAAGTCTTTAAAACTATCGAGTATCTCTGACAAGGTCACTAACCTAAAAGTCTGGAGCAAAAGCGTGAAAATATAACTTGTAGACAAGCCTTAAGGCGGAGCTTTTATTAAATTGGAAGTCATTCATTAAAATTTGACAGACTTTAACCTGAAAATCCTAAACGAAAGCTTAATAGGAAAAAAGGTATCAATTTTTCGAAATTTTCATACAACGTCTTATGTGGTTGTTGAAGTAAACAATTAACTAAGTAGAATAATGTTGTTCAGGGCTCTCGTATTGAACTTGGGCTAAATTTTGCAATAATGTGCAAGTGTAACCTTCTTGATGTGGATGATAGAAAACGTACTTGTTGTTGACGCTGGCATTTCACAAATATAGTTCTTTTGGTCGTTACAGTCCTTCACCCTTTCTATCGCTCCAGTGTCTGTCTTCATTTGCCAACAATTTGAATCACCTTTTCGGCCAATCCATACGTGCTGTATAAAGGAATTACAAGGAAAACAAAAAAAACATCAAATGGAACAATTTACTACAAAAGCCACCATAAATTAAGATGGTAAAAACAGCTTGATAATGGGAGTGTCATTCAAGACTCGTTATGGTATGAGGTTCAAATTTGGTATGGACAGAATACATTTACACTAAGGACAATAAATTTGACTTTTAGAAGTAAGATTTCGATCCTTACCATGGTGACAAGGATGTTTTGAAAAAGCTTTTTTTCAGTTTGTTAAACCTGGTTTTCACAAGCGCCTCAGCATAAGCATAAGGACACACACGCGCAGAATGGCATTTTTGACTCAATTCTCGCTACCAGCTCTCCTCAACCCAATGATAAACAAGATGGTGGACAAAGCGACCGCCATATTGCTTTTGATATGTTCGCATGAGATCTGGGTCAAAGTGGCTTACGATTGGTCCACGGCCTTGTGCTTATGCTTGGGCTTATGTCGACCCAGTTTTCACTAGTCAAAGCTACGACATAAGCTTACGTCGACCCAGTTTTCACTTGCTTACACATTTGCTTGTGCTTGTGCTTGTGCTTATGCGCTAGTGAAAACCAAGCCTAACCTCATGATAACTTCTCGGCCAAGACTGTCAATATGACAGTATGCAGTTACTTAATTATGATCACTTACAATCAAATTAAGTTAATAACTTTTGTCAAGAAGGGCATATATCGTTGTTCAATCAAGATAGCAGTTTAAATCAAGACGTCTCAGCTGATGAGAGGCAGAAAAACTGGTTTTCTATCAAATTCACCAGCATTGCTTGGAATGTACGTATAGCATTTTATAATAATTTAGTTTGTGCGCTCAGCTTGCCAAAGTAACTGAGAAACGTGGTCTTTTGAACATTTACGTTTTTCAAGATATAGATATAGATGAAAATGGAATTAAAACTGTCTACATCATTGATTCAATTGGGTCTGTGACACGAAGTACACAGAAGATGTGATTTCTCCGCATTCCTCCTTGAAATCTCTTCTTATAAATAATTACCCTGGCCTTAAGCGTGCTCTATCAACTGCATAAAAAAACCTAACATCTCAAGTTAATGCCCATTTCCTGTCCTTACATTTTTCTCACAGATGCGGTGGGGAGAGTAAATATTAAGAATCATTTGCATTCACCTCTGGTGGTCATGTCCTTAAACAACTAATTCTTGTGACTACTATGTTTTATAATACATTAACATTACATGGCGAAATTTCATGTTGATCATGCGATCATGAGGCTCAAAGAGTTAATGACTCGATACTTACATCTATGTTGTGTTTTTTCAGACCGGTGACCTCCATGAAGTGAATCAAAAATCGTTTTTGATTATCATCATCATCAACCTTCACTAAATCACCTCCGGAAACAGTACACTCTTGTCGTGCACCTTCCCAGGTATCTTTACTATTTTCCTTGTAGCAGGATACTCCATTGAGAAACCAATCAGCAGAACAGGCCAATGGACCTCATTAGTGAAACATTTACATAGGAAACAGTTTGAACCCAATAAGAATCATAGCATTGCTGTAAACGTTAGAGAGACTGGGACGTGAATCAGAGAACAATTAAGGAACAAAATATTCTAAAATTTCCCGGTAATCAATCAGTTGTCATATTTCATTTCTTCTTTTAATAGAATACAAGAAAAATTAGGATCTTTAATATGTGTTTGGGTGTGGTAATTCTAAAACGTAAAATTTGCATAATTATGGGCTTGGTTGGGTATGTGACAAAAACTGCATTGTAACTACCAAAAAAGCTCCTTTAACCCAGGCACAGTTGTAATTGAGGTGAAACAAAACGAGAAAACAAATAGAAAAAGCCAAATATCAGAGTGGAATCTAGCTCGCCTAAAATTTAAAGGCGTAAAGGCTATCTAAAGTCCGTTTAAGAGTTTTAGCGCCTTGATGGATCAAATTTTACCTTTACAGTCAACTCCCTTTATAGCGGACACTGTAGGGACCTTAAGTTAGTGTCTTCTGTAGCGAGAGTCCGTAATAGCGGGAGTTTATTTCAGTCAAATGTCTGTAATTTATTTGGGCCGGGGATGTAGCTGCTGTCAGTATTATCGGGGTGTCCGTTATAGCGGGGTGTCCGCAAGGCGAGAGTTGACTGTACTATGGTCGTACCTGGTGCGATTGGAGCTTCCCCATCATTTTCAATGTCGAGTTCCCCACAGGAACAACTCACCTTTCGGTCTCTCGCAGATGAAATGTTTATTTTCCTTGCAACATTCGGTGAGGTTCGAGCTATTTTTCAAGATTTCGACGCATTTATTTTCATAAACAATTCTCGACATGTTGAGCCGTTGGACAGGAACAGAAATGTTAAACGATTCTCCATTGTTCCATACATATCCACCCTTAAGATGTCGATAAGCCAACCCAATCCAAACAGAAGTGCGGTTTGCGTCCTTGAAAGCCATGTCATGGACAAACTTCATTTCCTTTTCATTCGATATGCTTACGAGGTCTCCTCCAAACCCAAAACACCCGCTTAAAGCTGTTGACCAAGCAAATCTCGGCGTATAACCGAGCCTATCCATAACCTTGTAGCAAAAGCCTTCAAATTCTCTCCACGTTTCTGGGCAATCCAAAGCTAGAAAGGATGAAATTGGGCACTTTTGACTCTTGTGACTTAACAATAATGAATGCAGGCCAATTATTGAATGGGGTCGGTCAAGGTCGTTGTAAGTGTTGTAAGCCGTGGCCGAAGGCGGAGGATGATAACACGAGCTGTGCCGTAAGCGGCCGTGGGTGTCTAAATGCGCCCTCCCTACTAGAGACATTCACGGCCGCTCCTAAAAAATGTTTTTAAAAAAACTTACATCGACCATAGCGCTTGATGACCAAATAGGGCAAGAAGTCTCTCAGTTAATTGTGAAATTAAAATTGAAATTGTTAGAGACCAAATGGACATACTTACCAGAATAACGCCTTGCGACCGCAAAGAGGAGTGACACGAGCAGTACGAGTGTTATCATTATGGCATCATATCTGGGAAGAAGTTAAAGTTTACAGATCAGTCATTATTTATCGCCCGGGATGGAGGGGGGTCCGGAGGTTTTTTTGGGGGGGGTCACTTGACTTTTAGGAGAACAGAACGGGGGATCCTTCGTACATCATAGAAAAAAAAAATTAGAAGAATTCAATCAAAGGGACCACTAAAATCTGCTTGGACAATACCAGTTTGAAAGCATGTAAAATAAATGCGTCCATTCTACTGGGAGATAAATGTCTGCAGTCTCAACTGGTTCTAAGTTTCACAAGAGCTGATCTGCCTGGAGTCGCTTCTCCCTGCATTGTTTGTTTTGGAATTTCTTCTTGCTTTCCTTCTTTCTTTTCTTCTTTCTTCACCATTTACAAGCTTTTTTGATTTTTTGATTTTTTGATGTTCTTCCAACATCCCAAGGATCAATGGGTTCTTTCGCCGGTTAATCAATAGAAAGTGAAGTCTATTCCTTGTATATACATAGTTTCTGCGGGCAAAAATATGGTTTATTATGTCATAATGATCAAGTTGCGTCTTCTTTGTACATTTACCTTTTTGGGCGCGGATAATAGTCCCAAAACAACTATTTTAAGGTAAAGATGGTGGCATCGCACCAAAGAAATTCTATTGTTCCGATTTCCATCAACAAGAAACAGCATTACTCTGAAAGGGCATTTTTTTGGGATTTCGGCTACAAAAGCAAGTGCGGCACTGTTTGAATATAGAAGTAGAGGATTAAATATCAGACTGTTCGCGGTTGTTGTTTATTTTTGCTTAGTCGACTGTTATTCGTGTATGAAGTGCAAAAATATTAGAGACTGAAAGGATCAAGAAGACGAAAATTCTAAGCATATCAGCTTGACTTCCTCTCTCCGAAACTGGAACAGATGGCAGAGGACTTTAACCAGTCATGGAATGGAAGTGGTCGTATTCAATTCTCATGCAATTATAATTGCTTACATGCACGGGGTAAGATGACAAAGAAAGATAGAAACAAAAATCGTCACAACCCTAATGCCAGGGTTTGAATTACACGAGCCCACCCCGCCGCGCTGCATATCACTGGTTTTGTCAATCGAGGTCCCTAACCGGATATGCGACTGTCTTTTTTGTTTTTTGTTGTTTTCTGTCGATGGAATTTATCGCCCAGTTACTATATAAAAGTCTACGATTTAGTGGGTGCTTCTACAGTTTTCTGTTTTACTATAATATTGACGGCCGTTTAAGACACTGGTTTAAGATCCGACGACGGCGACAAGAACAAGAACAAGTAACAAGAACGTCAAAAAACAATAGGGTTAATATTAAGCAAAACAAAAACTTCGCACGTGCACACTCCTTTTTTGTACATCTTTTTACCGCACTGCATGTCTACGACGTGAAAATGCTCGATTTCATATTTTATGGAGGACGTAAACAAGCTACGACGAAATTTTCTTATTCTTTCTGAGCTTGCTTACAGATTTTTAAGCTCAACTTCAGAAAAGTTTCCTACATTCGACAAAGTGAGTTCAAATAATCGCGATAAAGCTTGAAAGAACGTAAATTCACTTTTTAAGCGACGCATTCGCCACGTCGCTATCGTCGGATGTTAGGGTCCCTTTTGACATCTTCCATTTACAACGTGAAAGCATAATATTTGTGCCAATTAACACTTGCTAAAAATATTTCTTCGTACCAAAAAAAAAAACAAAAAAAACCGAATGCTTGACTACTGACTGACCTAACTACGTTGTAGGTAGAAAACACGACGTTGCCCAGTTTTTAGATTTATCCCTGATGTATATTTCAGACGAAGAGCGTGCCGTGTTTCTGTAGTTTCCGTGGACGTATAATTTCTCTTGTCAGATCAAACAATCACAAGGAGACATGAGACTGGAAATATACCCTTACCTGGAGTACAGACGCTATCTTCCTTCCCAACTTTACAGCAGACAAATATATCACTTGTCTCCCTTCTTTCAATCAAAGTAGATTTAATGCCGAAGAATATGATCTTAAGCTTAGCTACTGAGACTGATAGGTACAGTGAAATTTTGTTTTCAAAATAGGAAGTTAAAAAATATGCAGGTGCTGTTAATTACACGGCTTTCAGCTATAGATCCTAAACAGTTAAATGAGGTGCAATTTGTCTACATGCACGTTATTGACAAATAGCCCATAACGTTTCAACAATCAACTTTTTCTTTTTACTCATAAATTACCATTCATTCCTTCTAAATATTCAACATCTATTGAACAACAGGTAACAACTTACATATTACGTTTCAACAATCAACTTTTTCTTTTTACTCATAAATTACCATTCATTCCTTCTAAATATTCAACATCTATTGAACAACAGGTAACAACTTACATATTAC